CCAGATAGATGTCTTGGTTCATCAGGCTTGGTGGCAACTTCACCAGTTCTTACCTCATTCTTCCTGAGGCAGGCTCTCTCAATCAAACACACTTCACTAGCAAGACTCTTCTTGGTAACCAGCATACTCAGGGCATCTCCTGACTCCACTTTCTGAGGGTGGAATTACAGCCTGGCATTTATGTGGTATATTATTAGTTGAGGTTCTCTAGAGTGAGAACTTATGGAATGGGCACCCCTCTAGTTTATTGGAATGACTTTCAAGCTGCAGTACAACTGATCTAACAATGGCTAGCTGTGAATGGAAAGACAAGATTCCAGTAGTTTCTCAGTCCCATGAGGATTATGTGTCTTAGCTGGTCTTCTGCACATGCCGGGATCCTGAAGCCTTAGGATGCAATACCAATGAAGGGATAGGTGTGCTGGCAAGTCCAGGGCAAGCAGGCAAATATGTTGCAGGCTTTCCTTCTTCCATTGTCCTTATATAGATTTCCAGCAGAAAGTGTGGCCAGATTAAAAGAGAGTCTGCCGGCGTCCCTGTCAGAGGAGCAGCAGCTGGCAACTGACTTGAGGAGACTATCCCACCAGGAAAGAAAACCCTGATGTGTCAGAGCCAGCCAACCTCTCAAACAGTACCTGAAATGGATTGTGAGGATTAATTTAAAAAGTGATAAAAGACAGACTGTAGAATGCAGAGGACTCTCAGCAATACTGCATCGGTCCTTAATTTACCTCTCATAGCACGCTGTACTCAAAGCAAGAAGGTGGGGGATGGAAAAGACTTCCTTACCATGGTTCAAGGAACAAACAAGCATAATCCCCTCCTTAATTCTCAAAACGTCTAGTCACCATGCCTTTGGTTAAACATCCTGCTATTGGCCAAGATGGAATGGAAGTCACTGTGGGCTTCCACACTGATGGGTGAATCTAGAATAAGCAAGGTCCTAAGAGCCTTGTCCCTAGAGTGTTTCTTGCTTGATGTGACTTTTCAGGTTTGCAACTGTCATTTTTCTCTGGTATCTGGCATGGTGATAATGGGCCTGGGGAGATCCCCACTGCCCTTAACGCAGTATGATCATCTATTGGAAATATCCCTGTCTACTGGGGATTTTAAATTGTGGATTATGTTGAAGATGACTTCCTCCTAAGCTATATTGTTTAACTGGCACGATGATTTTATACAACAATAGCATTAATTTAAATAGAATTTTGATGATTGAGGGGTACACACACACATATAATTATGAGAGGTTAATTTATTGGAAAAATGAACATTGTTGATGGTAGGATAAAATGTCCCCCCATCTGACCTGATCAAGGGAAGGTTCAGGATCCCACTCTGAGAGCTGGGGAACCAGCATAAGGCTGAACCAGGCCCCCTTGAACATGGATGTCAGTTGGAAGACCTGGGCAGTCTATGGGGCCTCTGGCAGTGGACCCAGTATTTATCTCTAGTGCACAAATGGATTTTGGGAGCCCTTTCCCTAATGAGGGATACTCTCTCAGCCTAGATACATGGGGAAGGACCTAGGTCCTGCCCCAAATGATGTGACAGACTTTGATGATGCTTCATGGGAGTCCTCACCCTTCCTGGGGAGTGGGATGTGGGGGTGGGGGTCACAGGAGGACAAGGGGAGAGGGAACTGGAATTGGTATGTAAAATAAGATTCTTTTTAATTTAAATAAAAAATTATTTTAAAAAATCCAAAAAAAAAAGTTTCCCTTGTTTCTGATAAAGTAGAGGCTGCAGGGGTGTCACACAACTAGAACACATGAATTTGTCTCAGCTACGATTCACTCTGAAATCTGTGAACACATCTCCCAACATTTAGATTAAAAGAATTTAACCTAGCTGGCTTACAGGGTGTGAATTTTTTAATCATTAATCTAAGCCACAGTTTATTTGACTCTTTAGTTAAAAGTTTTGAAGAGAAGTTAAATATATGCTGAGATGTTTTTGTTAATAGCTTTGAGGTGGAAAACCCCACACACTGTATCTAGAGTTT